ATAGACATTTGCATACGATTTAAATTCTGATTGAAAACACAATTTATTTGTATACTGACGTCGGTAATGGGATTATAGTTTCGGAATGTCTCCCAACCATTTAATTAAATAATGCAATCTATCTTGATGGGGTTTTCCCCGTTTTGTGTTTCATCGATTTCCCACTTGCAAATTTTTTTTATTTTCGGAACCCAATTGAGTGCTATAAAGTTCACTGGAACTCAACCAACTTCTTACCACAATTTCCGAAATACCAAGGGTTGACAAAAGCATTTTACTGCACACTTGATGACGTACTCATTTATGATGCAAAAAATAGGATATTGAATATAAACGTCGGGAATTTTCCACATAAATCCACTTTTTAGCATGAACTTTAATACTGCTACTTACATAAACCTTCTTTTGGTCCCATGACACTTGCCGAAAATGTTCAAATATCTCCTTCCGCACATTTTCCGAATAAAAAGAACAATAAAGAACTATACCGAGTTGAACTTTTTACACAATAATTAGATGTGCATGCTGCTTTTATTTCTCGTGATTTTCTTTCGCAAATATTTCCTTTTGATAAGCTATCATATCTTTTACCATACCTTCGATTTTTTATATTTTCTTTCCTTTTGTTAATTTTTTTACAACCTTGCAAATTTTCTTTATTACTTTCAGCATCTTTAATTATGGAACATATCTTATGATTTCACAACACTTTTCTTTTTTTTTACTTTAAATTATATCACCAAAGCACATTGAACATAACCAATAAATCAAAGCTAACTCCTTTATAAAAAAAACTCTGTTATATTTACATGATGATATGTTATTTTGTTTAACGAAATCATGCACTTGTTGATACGTTTTTTTGAATTTTTAATATAACTTGGGTATTTTGGGTCGCAGAAGCCAAAAATTTTTGACACTTATCTAATATGATGTGGTGAATCGTAATCAAGAAAAAAATCAATTTCGAATTTTTTGATGATACGTTATTTTGCATTTAAGGTGACGATTTGTTGTTTTGATTTTGACTTGCTTCGACATAAAATAGCGGTGTTGTCTGCGAATGTTGAGGTTAGTGCTTTTGCACTCTTTTACATATAAAGTAAAAGATAATAAATAAAACATATAGTATTGGTCCCACAACGATGCATTGAGAAACCTCAGCCATAATTGGATACTTTTCTGAGATAAATTCCTTTAAACCGGTTCCTTTAAACCGGCTGAAGGAAGGAACAAATTCATTTGAAATTTTGTATGAGTCCATCATGCTATACTTTATCAAAAGCTAGGAGCATGAGAGAAATCGCTGAGCAGTACTCAAAGACCCTCCCGATCTTATTGGTAATGCAATGGGCTATATACATTTTGGATAGAAATACTTTTTCAAAAAGCTTGGAAAGAACGGGCAACAAGGTAATTGGTCGATATGATGACGGCACCGGTGTCTTTTTCGGGTTTAACTATTATGATAATCTGCGACTTTTCCCATGTTTTCGGAAATATTAAGAAAAAAATTCAGGATGACATTGAAAACTTTATTAGTATTTGCGGTCGTAATCAGGCAATGACTTTTTATTCAACGTCTTTGTTATAACATTTATCTCAGATAAATTTGTACACACTTTAGGAATAGTCTCCAGTACATTGGGGAGCAGTGATGGAATGGAGAAATTGTTCATTTCCTTTGTTTGTTCAGTTGCCTTTTTGTCTTTTTTTTAAAGCTTTGCTCACTTTTTCTCAGCAACTTTTAATTTCAATTTAGATGGTCTTCGTTATCACGTTGATATTTTGAATATTGTATTGCTATTTTACAATATCCTTTTTAGGGCAACACAAATACTGGTAGCTATGTACATATAGCATAAGTATGTACGTACATACATACGTGTCCATACAAATAAGTTTATACAGTCGAGATCTGAAAGAATAGGGTTACGAAAACCACTTATTTTAGGTTGAAGTGTTCTCTCAATAAATCCATTGTTTGATCCAATGTGTGGGAAGTGGCGCAGTCTCTTTGAAACCAAATGTCGCTGCGATCACAAGCATTCTTGAAGAAATAAGGACCGATAATTCCACCGTCCCACAAACCACACTAAACCGTGGTTTTCCTGCAGCTCCTGAGTCTCTTCAAGTTGCTCTTGGACCCAAATATTGCTTATACATATACCAATGGGCCTCATCTCTGAACAAAATTTGGCTCAAAAACGTCGGATTTTTCACAGAGCGTGAATTTTCGTATTAAAGTTGAACGATTTGTAAACTTTGTTCAGGCGTTAGTCTTTCCATAATGAAGTGACAACCGATACGGCACAAAAAGAACATGTCAGGTTGACGCGACTCGCGCGTGATCTGTCAAAAAAGGGCATTTAAAAAAGTACCTCGATTGGGATCACCCTTTATTATTCAATGCTGAGTTGCAAAAGGTTATACTATTAATCAGCTTTATTACTCATTACACAAATAAGTATTATCTTACTTTCTCTTTGAGTTTTCTGTTTCAAAAATATTAATAACAAGAAAAAACATGAACTTCGGTTGCACCGCAGCAAGAATACACTTCATAATCAAAGAAGTTGCTTTCGATCGGTAACATAACACTAATTTTATAGGTCGATTTATGTGTGTATGTTTTATACATTTTTTTATGTAATAACTAACGCTAAAATGGATTTTAAAGTTTGTATTTAATATTATGTTGGCTTTTCATATTTTGTTCTTTACCCTCACTTATGTATATCATTTTGATCGCCACTGTACATACTACTGGCACGTTAAACTTAGACTGTATCTATACATAAAGTTTTTTGTTGATCAAACTGTTTGTTTGGCAAGTGGAAAGTCTGAGGAACCGAATCGCTCGTGCCCAATTTTCCGTAACAGTTCAAAGAATATGAGTGAATAATGTGTTCCAAAAATTATAGAACTTAAATTTTAGAACATATTATAATTAATTATCATTTTTATAACAATTTTAAAAATTAGTAGTAGTAAAAATATTTTCGTGTGAAAATGAAGTAGCAAAATATGTATATAACATATATACTCGTAATGCATTAAACCACACCAAAAGGCAATCGCCTAATGATACACAACAAATGTTTCCGTGTGTAATCGCAGTCTTAAACGTTGGCTCAATAAATATTTCCTGTTTGCTTTTCTTACAAGGCGTTCAATTAGGCTGTTAGTGGTTCGTACTGTATTTCGGAGTCTATCTCTTTGACGTTTTGATGTTGGTAAATAAGCCTCAATATCCATTTCACATACAACTTTAGTTCCTTCTAAGATATTTATTGGAATTAAGCGAATCTGTTCTAGGCGTTGTTAGGCGAAAATTTTTTCTTATAAATATTTGCTTCTAAAAATTTGATCATGATTTGCGAAAGATCGGAGGACAAGTTGGAATATGATAAGATTTCTATGAATGGTTTGGTGAATGCAAAATCTATACGTTGCCTCAGAGAAACAAATTCAAGATGATTTTGTCTACATGTAATTGTGTTATATAATTGCCAACCTTTTGGCTTAATTATTTTTTTTTGGGTTAACAAGACGAGAACCCAACAGCAAGTATGTTTAGCACTCGACTCTTGCAATAAATCTTTTACGTATAGTATTAAAATATCATTAAAGTACTTGTCGGTTATAAACGCGTGGTGGGCGATAAATGTTAGAAATTAATTCTCGATTTTCGAGATATACATAAGTGGCCATGCGCTTTATGGTCCAGATAATTTAGTTTCGCTTTGAGTTCTTTATAAACATGACAGCCTCGATAGTTTGCAGAGGTCGAATTGTAACATATGTATGTATATCTGTGCACGGATCGGCAAACATACGAAAGAAAATTACGTGATACGTCAATCGTATGCGGTGATTGGCATTATGACATACGATAGCAAACGGATTGTAATGTATTTTCAATTTACATTGCACGTATTTTTAGGCCACAATAGGTATGAAAGCGTAACGTCAAGGACCTCCGTTCTGCTAGCAGTCACAAAGATAGGGGAGTTTGCTCTATCGTAAATCGAAAGGGTTTCACTCATTTAAAATAATACCATGGCCCATGTCTTTCATTTGTGTCCGATCTTTCTATATGTCTACAATTATAAATTATAACACCGATTTGACAGTTTCATTGTCAGTCACATTGTTTCTCAAAAAGAAAGTTTCACATGATTCCATTAAATTGTGTAACCTAAAATGATATTATAACCGTTTATCTGTTGATATTATATTCATTACTCTAATTGTCTACTAATATTGTGGACATTTTCAGGCCTTCACTTAAGTGATAACGTTGAAAACATTATTTCCATAAAATTTAGAATAAAATATTGTTCTTTTGAAATATGTTTCCTATCTTTTTCTGTTTTTTTATTTTTTAGTGTATAATGTCAGACTCGCTGCAGATATACTTACTTTTATAATAAAGGCTTCTTCACCACGAATTTAAAGCAATTGCATTCTTAATAACAGTAAAATGTGCAAACGTGTGTGCTTATATTCTCAATTAATTTATTTACGAAATAGGTATTTTGTTTAAATTATATAAAACTAAATTTGTGGATCTTAGTTTAATCAACATATGTATGTATGCTGAAAACAGAAAAATACAAAAATTTGCTGGCATTGACTTAACTAGGGGTAATATCACATATTTCATGTTTATTTAATAATTCAAGTAAAGAAAATTTGTAAAAGCCTATATGTATGTATATTTAATGCATTGCAATATTCTTAATTAAAGACAGTTTTGGTGATTTTGAATAGAATATACTTAAATATAAATAGTTAATTACAAGTAAGAAAGACTTAAGTTTAGACGAATTGTAAACCATGCATACCCAGAGAAAGTTCAAGGAACGTAGCCACAATAAAGGGCGCTTAAATGAAGAGGATGAGAAGATCAGTAGCTTATTTCCTGATGAACAATGAATACTTCGATACAAAATTTAAGTGGAAATTCATAAGCTTCCTTAGTTCTTAAGTAGCTGTTCTAGCTACTACCCGCCTCTCGTTAAGATTCTTCGTGTAGCTACTTGAGAATAAGTAACAAAAGACAAATAATGAAATACGCACGGATTAAAATATGACACATTGATCTAGTTCGAAATTCGGAACAAGACTTTATATGGAACACGCTTACTTTGAAACGGATACTGCCAGTGCATCTAAACTTTTTCCTTATTTTTGCATATCAGCCAAATTCTTAACTTAATGCAGATTAGTGACATACATTTTTACAATTGTTTTGTTTTTTTTTTTTAATGGCGTAATGGTTAAAACGGGTGAAAAATATAACATAAAAACTAAGAAAGCAGTTTTAAAATCTGGTCAAAATTATGTAATGCCCGGTTTCGTCCGAACTTGACTTATTTTTATTTGCCGGAATTTACTCCATAATAATGGCATACACGTTAGTATTTCGAGTCGTTTACCTAAGAGATGGTTTATTTTACTGTTTTTTTTGAGATCTGTAAAGTATATGAGTGTACTAATGTCAATTTGTGAGTCGGAATTTATTTATATTTATTCTTATTTATAGAATTTCTGGATTATTAAAAATTATTATAAATAAACTATTTTCCTCTAATGACAAGTTTTCGGATATGCTTATACATATATGGTACTTGTAACATACTAAATTACTAATTGTATGATTTTGTTTGAATGACTATGGTATAGGTGTATGAAGACGCAATGTATTTAACTAAGACCGCATTTAATACATAAGGATAACTTTGAAAATACGTTGCTTTTAAAATTCATAATGGTAAACGTTGCGTTTATAGACTTGTCAGACTGTAGTCCATGTTATATCTGTCCACAACCGATGCGATATCAGGAAAAGGGTAATCCAGAGCACCATCCTCCGTTGAGCGTAATTCCAACTAGCACCGCTACTAGGCGAATAGTAAACCATTGTTTCGTTTCGTTCGGATATGAGTGGCGCTGTCCACGTTTGCTCCTCATCGACTTCGTTAACGAGGCGTGGACAGTGCATCCACTTGCGTGCACTGAGCTTCGGGCGTGGGTGCGCCACTTCCATTAAGTCGTCGTTGAACTCCCAGTAGCCGTAGCCTTTGAAAAAATAGGTCTTACCATTGGTATACTTAAATGCGGCGTCTATGTTGTAACCAATACCACGCCAAATGGACATGTCACGAGGATAGTCTAATTCTACACGCCCAGTATCCTCATCTAATCGCCAGTATAATGTACCACTGGTGAGATAAGTGCGGTTATTGTAGCCCCACACGAAAGCGGCATCTATGTGGGTAAGCGATTGCGGTAAACCTAAAGAGGTGAGTGGTTGCGGATAACCACCAACTAACGTAACTGAATCGAAGACATAGTAATAACGACCTAGAATAAAGAAAAAGGCTTAGTTGAATTGTGAATATGACTATTCAATTATAATAGGGAAAATATTTGAGATGAAGGTTATCAAATATTCATTATATATTTGAATCTTGACTTCATCTCTAAAAAAATACGTACATAATTTGTTGCTTACCAAACATAAAATATTACTCAAAAATAATTATAATTATCTTTATACTGTAGCTTAGCATATATTTCGGGCTTATTAATATAAACATTGACAATGACGATCTTACCAATAAAGAAAACAATTTTTCGATCTTTGTTTTCATATACTGCATCAACTTTGGAGAAGTTCTTAGGCAACTCAGTCCACAGCCGATGAGTGTAAGTTGGGTATCCTGAATATAGGCCGTGATCACCAATCCGCCATAGGAACTATTGGGTAAAATAAATTTGGATTGTTCTATAAAGTTCATGCAATTGATAAAATGTATTTCTAAATATACCTGGCCACGAAATATGAATATTTCTCTACGTATGATCGAAATGGCATCGTAAGTAGTGTGACATGTATCGGGTTTCAATTTTTTTGGCTTAGTTGGTTGAGGAGGTGGATACCAAGTCCTGGTGGGATGTGGAGGGGAGTCAGTACGTGGTCTATAAGTCGTTGTGGTTGGAAGTTTCCGATCACGTTGGTGTGGATTGTTGTTATAAGGATATCTTCGCCGTGGGTCATAAGGTTCGTTGGGTCGGTTCTGTGGGTAATATACTAGAGGTCGTCGTGTAGTGGTTGTGGTTGTAGTTGTTGTTGTCGGTGGAGTTTTTGGTCGAGTTTGAGGTTTAAAGGGTCCCCATGTCTTATCTTTCGAGCCGTACAACTGTTGAATGGCATTGCGATCGTCAGCAGGAAGATTAATATCAACTTCATTGTCATGATACCATGGATACATAATAGCGTTTTGGTCAGATGAATGCCCGAGACCTAAGGAGTGTCCAAATTCGTGAACTGCAACGCCCAGAAAGTTTGTTGCTGAAAGTAAAAAAGTTGGTCTTGTTATTATTATGTTCCTAAATATATGGTACAATACTCGTATTAGTGCCACAAAATGTACGGGAAGGTACAGGTATTTGATTTAAATAATTTGGACCAAAAAACAAAACTTGAAATCTATTTTTACGAAAATTGTGATGCCTTGATTTATACACTGGATAATAGCCTAAACATTTATTCAAAACTTTAGGAGGAACACATCTAAAATATGAAGCCCATCTATAACCAAATTTTATCCCCAAACTTTTGTTCCTCAAAATACATAACAGAATTTTAAAACTTAGTTGTATTAGAAATATTAAAATTTTACAGTTAAATATTCGAGCTTTTAGTTATCGTGCAGCTGACACTGGTTTTCAATGACAAATACGAAATGCTTCCAATGTTTAAGGAATGGCATTTAATTTATGCATTTGTTCCTAGGCTTTGGTTTTGGTTTCAGTGCTTATATGAATAAGTTCACCTCAGGGGTGGTATTCCACGAAACATTTCATTCTGCTACAAATCGATGCAGATTGTATGGGATGAATGGGTTACGCTTTGGTGCAACTGGCAGTGCACGTACAATGATTTATTAGTGAAATTGTCGATGAAGCAAATACAAATATTATGTTGATTTTGGGCAGCAACCAAAAACAACAGTAGCAACAGTTGCGGTTGCGGTCAACCAAAAACAGAACAGCAAAAGGCGTTGATTATTCCAAATGATATTGTATTTGCTGTGGGAAGAGGCTGGTTAGCTAATCCGCTGTTCGTTTCTGCTGTGGCCTCTTCACTCATACAGCACACGGTTCAGAGCAATTTCTACTAGTACTTGGAGATTTATTTGCACGTTTGCGTGTGTTTGATCGTAGCAACAAGCTGTTCTAACGCGCATTTATCAAGCAAATTAACAATTTTCGCAAATTAATTACATTAGTGACAACACACATGGCGTGATGCGGTTTGGCGACCACTGGCAGGCTTCCAAGCTGCACTGCAACGCTGACACTATTATTTGGTGGAATTGGTGGCATCTGCATACATAGCTACAACGCTGTTGGCCCAGTTGATTACAGCATATGTTTACCGTCCAACGATATATGTATGTATGTAGGTATGTATATGGAGTTAGTAACATACAGAGAAACTAGGTGGATGTGGAGTGTCGGTGCTATTACCAAGTCGAACGATATGAAATTTGTTTGTGGATAATTACTCCTACGAAAATGCGCTTTCGTGTGTTACGTTGTGTGCTACCATGGGGTATACAGGTACTAAATGTGACCGCGATGAACCTATGCAAACGGGCACCCGTTAGTATGTACATAAAATATGTATTAGTTTAACTTGTTTGTACTCATGTACCTCCGGACTTTTGTGGGCATATACTTGTATATATGTATATTTAAATACTATGGTCTATGAAGCAAAATTATTTATGTAAACACGTATATGCATCGAAAATTAAGCACTGAATAATAATAATAATTTCATAAACTTTATTACGAATTCCCTTATACATGGTTCTAAATTCGTATTACACAATATCGTCCCGTATAACGAACTTTCGAAATAATGGTTTAACGAATCATCAATATTATCTAATTAATGTTTCCATATTTCGAACACAAATAATTTTATTATTCGATGTTGCGAACGCTGCTATATTTTTATCTTGAATGTTTTCACATGTTTTGACAAAATAAAGGCTTCGTTAAACCAACGGTAGTTTAAGTATTGTAGGAAATAGCTGATGAGATTGTCAAAAGCGCAATCTCTCCGGCTACTGAACCAAGTCACTAAAACGATACCTAATAAAATTTTCGAAATGAGATGGATTGTCTTAAGGACATACAGAATAGCCAAGATCATTTGTAACAACAAAAAATTTGGCCTATTAACAGGTCAAAACTTACTGGTACATTCAGGAAGTGAAGGTATGAGAAATACCCTGAAACACATCCTTTGCTTTTGTCCAGCCTCCTCTAGAGCTCGTCTTAGATAAACGAGATTTACGTCCTGTGTGATGAATACTTTAGCTCGAATTAAACTGAACCTCCATCTGGCTTGTTTTTACTCAAATAGGTCTATGCATCACATCTGCATAATACTTCCACTGCCTATATAAAAGTGAAACTTTTGCCAAAGCTTTTTGAAATGTCAGTCTCCCGTTTCCCACTCCGCCACCCCCGATGGTAACGAATTTTAATTAATTATATTAAATTAAAAAAGTTGATAAGCGAAAAAAGTAATTTTTGAATATTATTGTTTCACTGGTGATGAAAGGATCTAAGCCCAAAAGTAATCGGTTTAGCAAGTCCTAATTTGTAGCGGCCCGTTAATCCTTTTTTGTATGATGAAGTCGACACATCTTAAAGTCCTTATTGCTTGACTCAGCAGATTCTCCAATTGAAACATCGACAGCGTGAATTAAAATTTTGTGAACTGACGAAGGAAGAAATACCAGGAATATTTTGAAGTTAATTTCCTTGGAGGATCTAGCGCAAATCTAGTGAATTTAAGGTTTATTGAACTGATTCCTTTTGAAATTGAATTCGAACAAGACGGCAAGAGTGAGTGGACGAAGGTCTAGACTTTTTCCAAATTTGTTTGTGCTCATCATCACTTTGTGATTTTATTATTAGTTGAAGAGGGACATATGTATGTATGTATGTCGTGACAAATTATTATTTTCAAATTTCAGCCTATATTCGCTCTGCCCAGAAAAACTGCCAAAAAAGCCACATTTTCCTTTTAATAATAGGTAATGAGAGCCGCATTTTGCTATTAATAATAGGTAATGAGAGAACTCACCGCGTTCATTAATTACATTCTCAGTGTGATCCAATAATTTTTTTTATCTCAAAGCAGGGAAAAAGTTAATATAAAATTTTTTGTTAACAAAGCTTCTAATGAGTAGATATGCCTTATTAAATTTGCTTCGGTGATAAGTGATATTACTTCATACATTTTCTAAACACCACAATTCAAAAATATATACATAGACGTTAAAATATACACTGATATGATATGCTTGGATAAAAGTAGTATAAAACAAACATTTGATAAAACTGAGAAAACGATGAAATCAAAGCCAAAGCCAAAGTATATATCACGAATAAAAATAGAAAAAATTATAAAATTTAAACGTAAATATGTATAAAAAATTAGGAAAAATAACACACACAAAATCGCATGCTTGGTAAAATAACATGAATAACAAAGAGAGGAGCAAATGATTGCAGCAGAAATCAAAAGAATAGACTTTGACTCATTTATACCTGAAATCGATGTATAAAGAAAAACATGACACTCAAAAAGACACTTATAAAACAATAATTTTAAAATAAAAAAGGAACATATTGTTATATAAAAACCACTAAGCTATATAGCATATACCTTTTTCCTATTAGTGGTATCGGGTTAAGAACTTATTATTAAGTCCTACGAGCGATTTTTTCAATAATTTGTAAGTATAAATAAACTAGGTCTATAAGTAGAGTGGATGTCTGCCGAAAGATTAATATACTCCAGGATAAATATGTATATATCATTAATTTATCTGGATGTATTTGGATAATTATTTGATGCTTTTAGTACAGTTAAAAAAATATTTAATTACTGATTTTTCGATTCGGCACTTGGGACGCCCACTGTAGTGTTTATTTATAATAAACAATATAATACAGCATTCGAGTTTGTCTAATATGTCTAGACCAAGCAGGAAGTTGGGCTGCCCGGTAAGAGACATTTCAGAGAGGACATTTTTGTATTATTTTTAACCGTCAATGGCGACCGTTATCTTCAGAACCTTATCTTGAACAAACAGCAACCATTTAAATTGAGCTTAACTGCTGACGGAGTCAAATTATTTTTAATATTGTCAATTATTATTTTCATAATTCCGTCGATAAAAGCAGTGTTACTGACGGCATTAGTTCCCATTGTACCCCACATCATAAAGGAACCTACACCATGCTTTAAAGTATAATTTATTCGCACTCTTGACGCCATACTAATCGACGAAAAATAGATCGGTTAGGTTTGGATTCATATCTAACATTTACTGAATCCCTAAATGCGTTATCTTCGTGGATAGGCTTTTTGACATACATATAATAACCGTTACGCAATATTTTTCTTCGTTAAGTGCGGTTTGCTTCGAGTTGTTTGCGATCGAAACTAGAATTTTCGGACAGTTTGAGTGTGTGTTTTATACACATATTACATTTTATATACATATTATCCAACTCCTTAGTATCATCAAGTTTTCCAACTTTACCATCCTTTTTGAATTTAGCAATAATTTACAGAACATTAAATAGTATGTGGTTTTTTGACAATATAGCCTGTTCCGGAGAACTATTGATCTCTAGCCAATATTTGACTACCACATCTTGTAAACCACAAAAAAAAAACACTTCATTTCTATGATTGAGGCACTCCTAATAAAACGCTATAAGCCGCTTATTAGTTCCTTTAATTAATTTTCGTAAATTTACAATTGTTATCCGATTAAATTCATTTTTTAACATTCATGCCAATATTCATAGAATTCATGACAATAGTCACGAATTCCAATTTATATAGACCCGTTAAGCTTCTTTCTATCCAGTGGCAGTTATGTATTTAGGTATTATAAATGTATGTATGTATACATATGCGATAGACGACGATGTGCAGTTATAATGGCGTCATTGTTTTTTAAAACACGTGCTCAGCAAAAGAAAATTATTTTCTCCAAGTGAACAAAATCACAGACACAATTTGGTTGGCTCAAGTGATTTTCAAATAGAACCACAGCAGTGGGTGACATTATCCTCGCTTTTGAAAGACTTTGGCATAAGCTCTTTCGCCCGAGGATGTTGCATCGTTGCGCTGAGCTATGCAAGTATGTAATGCAACGAAATGAAAACGAATCGCGCCGTTCATTGTGCAACATTTACCATTTTATTAATGCCAATAAAATTGTCATAACTAGCACCAAGATGCCACAAGCTACAACATTTTAAGAGCTCTCTACGGCAACGGATGCACCACTAGCTAGCTGCAGCAGCTAAGTTATGTGGAGTCGCAAGTATTTTTGTGTTGAACTCGCCAAAATGTATGCTGCGTGGTGGAATGCGTAATCATACTTCCATACATGGCCGCCTTTGCCATCAGCATTGTTGATGACATTTCGCATAAGAAGTCATTATGTTGGCAACGGAAATGACGGTTATAATAAAGTATCTGGTTTCTTACATCACATGATGACATTGTATCCAGTTTATAAGTGTCTTATAGACACAAGAATAAAAGAACAAAATGTGAAAAAGGCGAAAAAGGCGACAGTAGACATCGATATCGCAAAGTTTCATGTCGTGAACTTTGTCTAAATTAAGCTTATAAAAATTATAATTCGTTTGCAAATTACTTTATTAATCTTTATACATATATTCTGTAGGGTGTATGCGCATAATTTAAGATCCTGATTTAATGAAATGGTACTTCGGTTAACAATTCAAATTGCAAAAAACGCTCATTTAGTAAATAATTATTTAAATCGTACCACTTTAAATCGAGTATTAAAGTAAATTGGGTAGTGATCTGTGTTTGAATGTGGTCATCATGGAACCATTATTGAGATAATTATTACTCTCTACATATGTAAAGGGTCTCCCAATGGTATGATTTTAAGATAAAATAAAAATCTCAAAGTCTTCGAGCTCCTCGAGCATTGCTGGTTGATTGGGCAAACCAGATAAAATTATTTAGTAGCGTTAAATATCCTGATCTTGGCGGTTCTCTGACTGGGCGATTTCTCGACATTAACAAGTTGCCATACTTTGCACGTGATTTGTCCATGGTTAGCAGTAAAACATAAGAAGATGTACGTCTTGTTGGAAATAGTGATCGCGGCATCAATTTCATCAAGAAATCCGAGAAAAAAGTCGGTCAGCATCGTGGTACAACAACATTTCTTGCCTCATTTCAAAAGAAATAAACCCCGACGATGCTGCCATTCCATAATCCGCCCCAAACGACGTTTTTGAATTTGCGTGAAAATCTTTGATAATTTGCCAGTCTTGTATCAAATTGAAACGAGATGAATTGACAAACTGAACTGAACACACTGACAAAATTTGACACACGTTTGTACAATAATATGGTCGTCACTAGTTGTCAAAATCACGTCATCCGTATTGGATCTTTCGCATACCCGATCTTTAATAAATTATTGGTCTAAACGGTCCTTTAAAGTGGTTGCTAACTCAATCATTATTATCGCTTTCCATGTACGAAGCGTTGCAGCGGCACCATCGGTTTTTTGGTATCAGTTCGATATCTTTCCTTCTTTAGGGTAAGTGTGCCAGTGACCGGACATATCCCAGTGATCGGACACTACTCACTTTTTGGGTTTAAACTAAGAAAACCGTTAAAGCAGGCATGCCTATAAAAGATTCAAAGGAAGTAGCCATAGATTGCGTGACTGGCTTTATTAAAAAAGTTTTAGTTGTTGCACATATCGCAAAGTGTGTAAAAGTGTTTTTTGTTAATGATATATGTATGTATATGCAAGTATATATTTTTGCAGATAAGCGTTATAAGATAGTGTGTCCGCTCATAGTTACCGTTTACTAAATTTTGAGATAACGTACGTACTCTAATATCCGGAGAGATAGTTTTAACAATACTACAGGGTGGCTGATGAAAGCCGCTACCAAAAAAAATTAAATGACTTTTTTTTCTATTTAATTAATCTGGTTAATTTTTTTTCTATTTTGCAGATTGAGTTTTACATTTAACAAAAATGGATAACTGGGACACTGAAACAAGAAGTTGGATTGTCCGCCGCTATCATGCACTGGAGTCCGTAGTTTCGGTTCAAAGAGAGTATAGGCGCACGTTTGGCGGCAATCTTCCGAGCAGATGGACTATAATGAGACTTGTAAACAATTTTGCCGAGCATGGGACAGTCAACAGAAGACCTTACTATCGAAACCCTTCAGTTCGAACGGACGAAATAATCGCTGCTGTAGCTGCTGCCATACAAAACAATCCACGTGTTTCGACAAGCAGCTTATATGCTCAAATGGCTGTAAGCAGATAGTCATTACAGTCAATTATGCACCAAGATTTGGACTTATTCCCATATAAAATTCAAATGGCCAACAAACTGAACGCTGCAGACTTGCCGATTCGCTTGGAATTTTGCCAGAAGATGCTTCAAATGGTCACACCGTTACGGTTACTGGAGACCGTTACTTGAGCATATTGAGAGAGTTTTTCTATCCAGAATTACGCCGAATGAGAATTTCTTTCAACTCTGTTGGCACAAGTTTATAATATCTCACGGGGATTACTTTGAAGGGGACAAAGTAGATATTCATGAGTAAATAAATATCTTTTGAAAAAACACAAAATTCGCGATACTTTTTGAACACACCTCGTACACTTGCAAAAGAATCGATAGCAGGAATTTGGACCTCAAACCTAGTATAATCATGTGAATGTTGGCTGTCATTAGAAATAAACTTACATATGTATGTAGCGCTTGTATGGTAGCCAGTGCTAAAGAAACAATACAACATCAGAAAATTAAATGGAATACAAAGAGCAACCTGTGCAGGTGTCCTGCATCAACTACCCATAAACATCAACTATATATTCACAAAATAGCAGAATGTTGTTCAATAAGAACAAAAGAATTGCGTGGTTGGAAATATATATATAATGATATCCTAAACAAACTTAGTGTAAACGTCAATAAATCAGACTACATTTTCCCAATGCTGGCTTTCAATAGACACTTCCAGGTGAGGATACCCTCTAGACAAGAATGGAGAAGGGGTGTAAAAGGGGAGGAAGATACCGTGTCAGTCTATACCGAAGGGCACAAAATGGACTGCGGACTCGGGAGTATATTTCGTCGATCAGGACCTTTCGGCCGAACTCGGCTAGCATCTTCCAAGAGGAAGTACAAGGCATAGCGAAGACCTGCGAAGCTCTATTGGATAACTACGACAGGATACATAAAGCAACAATATACAAGGGTAGCCAGGTGGATCTCCAGCTATGGTTCTTAACTGCAAGAGGGCCCTGAGTTCACTAGAAGACAAGCTCCCCCCAGACTTGATCTGAGTTCCCGGCCACAGGCACATTTTCGGCAAGGAAAAAACATACTAGTTGGCAAAGGCAGAAGCTTTCCTAAACGAGGCGGAGTTAATACCAAGCCCGCTAGGATCGATCAGCAGAGAACTCAAAATACGATTTCAACAATTAGCAAATAACAAATGGAAATTTATAACAAAAGGCAAGATAACTAAACAGGTATGGCCAATATATGACAACAAAAGAACTAACGACTTATAAAATAGGTTCAGGAAAAATATCTACTCTACGTAGTTTCATTAGTATTCGCACATTGAATATTATGTACGAATGAGTGCATTAAAATATTCTTCATCACATTTTTCAAGCGTAAGCAATGAAAACACTACAATTTGGAATAATTATTTTGCGTTTGAATTTGCGATATGCTATTTGATTTGTAACGATTCAAAGTTTTGATTACCGCTTTGTGTATACATATAGGCTTTAACATGTTAATATATTGTATGTACATATCTATATATATTATATTTCTTCTGGAAGTACTTACAATCGCCTCTTTCCCCTCTGGTAAAATGCCATTTCTCATCGGCGTCAAAATGTGCATCGCCGCCGCGCCCCACTCCAGGGTAAAAAGCATGAGCAAGCACCATACCAGGCCCATCGAATTTGTAACCATCACCATGGTCTCCGCTAAAAAAAGGAAATAAACGTGTTAGACCAAATTTTTATAGTTCATTAGACAACATAGTGTTAAAAAAATTTAAAGTTTTGAATTCCATAAGCAGAAGACCTCTTAACTTAGAAGACTTCTTGACTTATTAAAAAAATGTAATATCGGAAGAAATTATTCAGATCGGCTTACTATAGCATATAGCTGCCATACAAACTGAATGATCGGAATGAATTGCATGGGAAACTTTCTCATTTGACGATATATCTTCACGAAATTTGATATGAGTTACTGTTCATAGAAATAGTGTAATATCCGAAGAAATTGTTAAGATTGGCTCACTATAGCATATAGCTGCTATACAAACCGAATGATCGGAATCAAGGCCTTGTATGGAAAACTTTAGCATTTGACGTGGTATCTTCACGAAATTTGACATGGATTACTGCTTAAGGTAAGAATATAATCTCCGAAAACTTGTTTAGATCGGATTACTATAGCATATAGCTTCCATACAAACTGGACACATTGTTATTAAAAGAAATACACCTGTGAAGGTTACATTAGTTTCGGTGCAGTCGAAGTTAACGTTTTTTCTTGTTTTTGTGTTGTTTTGTTTTTATGATTTAAGAACAATGTTTAAAATATTGAAATCATTTTTTTAGTCTGAACTCAATTTCAACTTTAAATTTTCAACGGTTCTTAAGCATAAATAGGCCGATACTGCTGCAATTTCATGTTCGATATTCATTCGAAGTTCATAAATCGTTGCTAATTTAGTTATTGATTTATTTATATACTCTTGGTTATGTTTACGATACCATTATATGGGGACGTAGACGCCCTCAAGTTTCAGGATAGACGGATAGACCAACGTTGGGATTTCAACTTGTCTCGTCATCCTGATCATTTATATATGTATGTATACCTACGTATAACCTACCCCCATTAGTTCTAGGAGATACAAAAACCGTTAGGGGAATTCTCTCCAGCAACATGTTGGAGATTATAAAAAATTACATACACGTTTGCAACCAATATGAACGCATGGCATAAATGACGCACATACGGCCTGAGGAGCCGTACATACACACATTATATTTGGCATGCAAAATTTTTAATCAAAACCGATACAATGTAATTTAATGGAATTATCGAGATTTAGTCGACACAAATATATACACATCTATAGTGATTTACGTGATTCTGATTTCTGAAAATAACTTTAAACTCGATATTCCGCCTAAATACTTTTTGTCTCAATCATTTTCCGATTTACCATATCCATATACATACACGCATACATAAATATCAGTAGTAACAACTCCGTTAAACCAAATGTCAATATTTTTGTACTAAAGCTGTGTTGTTTTCTGGATGCATAACTATGTTCTTCTTCTTGTGCTTCTGTCGGCTTGCTAAAAGCATAAAATTAGTTATTCATTTATATTATGTCTCGTAGCTTGTGGAAACATTCATACCATGTGTAGTGCTAAAAAGAAAAATTGCATGGAACCTTTCCCTTTGACCAAATTATCTAGTCTTAAAAAAGGCTGGCTTTCGATGATAATATATTTCCGGACATGCATAAATACCGAGGGTTTCAATAAGGACGCTGAAAAAGTAGACCGATAGGGACAGCAAACGACGCCATATTTTTCCCTGCTCTTTTGACATTGCTCTTCACTTGGATTTGCTATTTCATCACGGAAAGACATACGATCTAACAACGAGTCGAAATTATTCAAATTCAAATTCGAAGATAGTGGCCTCAACTTTAAGAGTACTACGGCCAATTTATGGTCGTCATAATCGTCCTTTCAGATCAGCAATAGAGCGTCTAGTGGAAAAATTTTAATCCACAAGCACAGTACTAAATGTTGTGAGACAAAGACAAAGAAGTCCCCATATCCGGATTTTCATCGAAATATCTCTTCAGCGATGAGACTCATTTCTGGAATAATGGCTTCGTCAATGAGCAAAAGATGCGTTATTGGTTAGGCAGCAATCCATACATACACCATGAGTCACCATTACATCCCGAAATAATTACCTTTTGGTGCGGTGGCATCATTGGGCCCTACTTCTTCCGTGATAATAATAATAATACCCAACGATTACCCTCCTCCCGCCCAACCGACGCGAGGGGCGCAATCCGCGAACTAGCGGAATTAGCCGAGTCATAAAAGGCAAGGGAGTTTTAAACGTTGCGATCTTAAGCTGCTCAGCTACAGAAACAAAAATTTCAACACTCGAAATTAAGAATTAGATTAATGTTTATAATTTTTAAATGTTACTTGTTAAGAGTAGATAAAATAATTTTTTTAATGGTAAAGAGTGAATCTGTTAGRTCAAATGTGCTGGAATGAGAATTGAAATCGTGACACATACGGCGGAATGGTTCGTTTAACTCGAATTTTGTTCTAGAAAATTTTAAAAGTAAAGGTCTAAGCTGCCTGGTAGAGCGAGCGGGAATGTTAAAATTTATATCAGACAAGAGAGATGGRCTACAGACTGACCCATTGATGAGTTTTACAAGAAATATTATACCAAGCATTTCCCTACGACTAGCGAGAGTCGGGAGATTTATAAGCTTTAAACGGTTAGTGTAAGGTTGAAGATTTAAATTGGAATCCCAATGCAAATGATTTAATGATTTACTTAAAAAGTAAAAATTGTTTTTGAACGGACTCTATTTTCTCAGAATGAACTTGATAACAAGGGTTCCATACCACGAAAGCATACTCTAATATAGGCCTCACCAAAGATGTAAAAAGAATTTTTGTGGTAAGCGGATCTCTAAATTCTTTAGACCAACAATTAACAAAACCAAGAGCACCTTTAGCTTTAAAAACCATGGAAGATGTGTGAAGATTAAAATTGAGTTTGGGGTCCATTGTTACTCCYAAGTCAACAAAACTGCATACTTGCTCCAACCTAAAGTTTTGTATTACGTATGAAGTAGGGTCTACAGATCTACGTGAAAAGCACATCGGTTTACATTTTTTAAGGTTCAATGGCATGTCATTTCTAACACACCAAGAAACTAGGTTGTTTCTGTTTGCTGTCTCTTATACACATCTAGATGTGTATAAGAGACAGATATAAGACGTCTGCTTCGGAAGTGGTAGGTGCATTAATGACAGAAATCGGACGTAACTTGTGCTGATGCGAAACATTTTTTGGAGATTTTGGAGAGTAATAAGTAAACAATTCAGCGAACATATTAGAAATGGTGTGATTGTCACTGGACATACTAGACTTATATTTCATAGCGGACGGAAAATTAGAAATCCTGTGTTTGGAGTTGACGAAATTATTATTTTTTACTTTATTTATATAATTATTATAACATAGTTTGTTAAGTTCAGCAAATTGTTTGCGCAATTTAGAATATTTTGAATAGTCAGCAACTAAACCAGATTTCTAAAACGTTTAAAAGCACGAGATTTTCTATTTTTAAATTTACATAATTCTTTCGAAAACCATAAATTAGAACTCATTTTATGAGTAACAACACACTTTGGAACATATTTTTCAAACAAGTTTAAAGTAGTTCCATTAAAGTGGGAAGCACTAAATTCAATGTTGCCATTGTAATCTGGCCAAGAAACTTTAGAAAGTTCTTAATTAATTTTTTTTAAATTAGCTTTCGCAAAGTTGAACCGAAAACAAAGGTCTTGTGTATCATTATAAGCAAAGTTGGCTATGGTTTCGATATTATTTTCCAAAGCAGGATGATACGAGTCCTCTGGCCGAATCAGAGAACTTACCAAACTCGTTCGAAATTAAATTAATTTGGTTAAGACCCAACTCCGACATTTTATCTAAGAACTCGTTAAAACATAAGCGAGTACTAATAGGAATGGTGTAGTCATCAATAGATTTCCATGATACGAACGGTAAATTGAAATCCTCCAAAACAATCATGGAATCAGTATTATTAGCCATTGAGAAATCATTATTTATTAATGAAGCAGGCTGCATATATACAGATATGTCCGAGTGAGGCGGTATATAACATAAAGTTAAGTAGATATAGCCACTATTAGCGCAAATACGAATGCACTTAAATTCTATGAAGTGTGCATGATGTGATCAAGATCGGCTCGTTACTGGAAATGGGAATCGCTACCGCTCAATGATAACCGATTATATTTGGCCTGAATTGGATAATATGGACTTAGAAAATATGTGGTTCCAAGTAAAAGGCGCCACAAGCTACTCAGCGAATGTCACAATCGATTGATTTCATGAAATGGCCCAGTCAATTGTGCGCCTCGGTCGGTCGATTTAGCCTTGAAAACCGTCGGAAATTGGGTTCAGAGTCTGGACTTCTACAAGCGGGTCCATGGTGGCCATGCAAAAGAGATCGAACCCATACATATTGGTATCGAATGTACTTTCAAAGAAATAGAGATAGATAAAATAAATTTTATTGCTATCCCAAACCGTTATTGGGTTTCAAAAAAACTTGTGTAGCGTTGAAAAACCCGTCACTACTTATAATGATTTCGGTTTTTTTAAAAGTTTTGTACAAGGTGTTCCAAAGTAAACAGAACTTCATGACATTTCATCGATTGGGAGTGAAGTTATCGTTTAAGTGTCAGTATGTTTGTGTTATCGGTGCGAAAATGAGCTTCGAACAAAGAGTCTGATTTCAACGTCTTCAAAGTGGTCGTGAGGACATAAATAACGATCAACATGTGTGCCAATCAAAATCCGTGACTGTTCGTGATATCATCAAAAATCAGCCGAAATCATTATTGCAATTCATGGAAAAAGAATGCAACATTTCCAAATCATCGATTTATCGCATATTGACCCAACATTGTGGCTTACGAAGGGTGTGTGCACGGTTTGTTCCGCACAAATTGACTGACGACCAAAAATTGCTCAGAATCCGACACTCGAAGGACACCATTGAAGAAGATATTCTCCTTTATATTCTTAATAAACTTACCGGGCAAAAAGCACTTGGATATCTGCTTGGTCGCTCCTCACTTCCCTAAAAGTCAATTTGGAGCTGTGGGCCCACACACTAAGAGCTTCTGTGAGTGCTCGCCGTATCTGTGGGGCATCCTCCATCGTCCAATTCACCAAACTGCAAAGAAAAAAAAAATTTATACAAAAATAACTTTGATGAGCTACTAATCAGATGATGAGCAAAACGATGAGCTAACGCTATGAATCCCATAAAAATAAAGACAATGCGATATCAGAATATTACGTGTGTTTCTAGATTTTATTTTAATAGATTCAACATAAGTACTATTTAAGAAAGAGCGTGTAGCAGAATCAGAGTATTACATCCTTAACTTAAGAGCAGATTGATATGATTTGGGTGCCCAAGCTGATTTTTCTTGCAAATGGGTTCAATGCAAGTAAATCTACATCTTTACAGAAGTGATTTTCAAATACAATATTTTCCGCTCTACAAAGAAGAAGCTATACGCAGCGAATTATATTTATCAAATGTACCGTTTTCATATACTATGAGCGTCAAAAGTGAGTCAACACCTATGGAAAGTTTGGTTTTCGTATAATTACAAGCTCAAATTGAAAAACACATCAATAATTATACAAGCATAAAGGTTTATTCAATATTAAAATAACAAGAACAAAAAAACAACAACAAATAAACGGTGTGATTTTCTAAACACAGTTAAACCAAAACATGTCATATTTTACGCGTCAAAAGTGAGTCAACACTTCTGTTTAAAATTCATTTCTTGGAAATACCGTTATATTTGAAGAAATTTTTGCATGCACATTGGTTGGTAAATTAAATTCGGCATTTTCCTTCTTCATTCGTAGTTGTTATTTAAAGTGAAGCAGTCAGTGAGCTAAACAAATTAATATACTTATATTAAATCATGAGAACCGAAATATCCTTGGAAACCAGGAAAATCATTATTGATTTAAAGAACAATGGAAAATCTTTGCGACAAATTTCTAAAATTGTTGGAAGACATCCCACATCTATAAAAAAAATCGTGGATAAATTTAAAAACCATAAGCAATTAGAAAATTTTAAACGATCAGGCCGACCAAAACGGCTGAATGAAATGGAAGTAAGGCAAATAATCTCTACAGTCAAACAGAAACCTGGTAGTAGTGCAGTGGAGATTGCGAAAGACATCACAAAGGAATTCGAAAAAACCGTAAGTGCTAGCACAGTAAGAAGAATTTTGCATAAAAATGGGTTTCATGGTTGCCGACCGCGAAAGAAGCCATTTATTTCAAAAGTTAACAAAGCGAAACGATTAAATTATGCCCAAAAATACAAAAACTAAGATTTTTCTTTCTGGAGCACTGTCCTTTTTAATGACGAAAGTAAATTTGAGATTTTTGGCTCAGAAAAGCACAGAGAAGTCTGGCGAAAAAAGAACGCAGAATACGATGAACCAAATCTTCAAACTACGGTAAAACATGGTGGAGGCTCGGTAATGGTCTGGGGATGTTTTGCAGCTTCCGGAGTTGGTGAACTTGCTTTTATTGAATCTACAATGAATGCGCGAGGTTACTTGGAGATATTAAAAAGCAACGTTGCTCCAAGCGTTGCTAAATTGGACTTGTCTAATTATTGGATCTTCCAACAAGAAAATTACCCCAAGCATACCTCACGCTTGGCGAAAGAATGGCTACTATATCGAACACCAAAAAAGCTGGACCATCCCTCTCAATCCCCAGACCTAAACCCAATTGAGCATATATGGGACTTTCTGGACCGGCAAATACGAAAAAACAAAAACATCTCGAGTAAAGAGTCCCTTAAAGCTGTATTGCTGGAGGATTGGAGAAAAATACCAGTGGAGTACACAAAAAAGCTGATAGAGTCGATGTCACGAAGACTAGAAGAAGTAATTAAGGCTAAAGGAGGCCAAACCAAATACTAAATTGCATAAAAATATACATTTATTCTTTTATTTTAATTTTAAACAGAAGTGTTGACTCACTTTTGACGCGCAAAATATGACATGTTTTGGTTTAACTGTGTTTAGAAAATCACACCGTTTATTTGTTGTTGTTTTTTTTTTGTTCTTGTTCTTTTAGTATTGAATAAACCTTTATGCTTGTATAATTAGAATTGATGTGTTTTTCAATTTGAGCTTGTAATTATACGAAAACCAAACTTTCCATAGGTGTTGACTCACTTTTGACCCTCATAGTAGTACACCGTAGCGTACATAATGCATTTATAAAATACTTGTATGGAAAATTGTGTACTATAATATTATTTTCTCAAGGCTTTAGTTTTTCTTCTTTCAATGAAGCCTAAGGAGTGTTTGCAAAATCACATTCTACTTGGAAAGTAACGGACACCATATTATATGGTACATGTACGGTACATTTGACTATTAAATATGATTGGAACAATTAGACAAATCAATGCTGACAAGAACTGACGTGGTTGAACAAATATGATTCATTTTGTTGCACTAGTGGTTTTCTTAATCCTTACGTCGGTTATTAGTTTGAAGATCAGCCCCTTTTTGGAGAAACGACTGTTGAGAAGGTTAAAATTATATTCAATGCTTATAAACATCGGATAGTCTATTTGGGAAATCTATGAATTAGTTCAACGCACCTGTGCAAAAATTACTGGTATTATAACATGTTTTAAAAATCACCCAGATTGAGAAAAGGGATGTGTTGTTGGACATATATATATTACGTTTATATTTCTTTTTTTTTTTTTTTTAAGATGTATTACAGATACATATATTTCTACACCAGTCTTTGACTATCTCTCTCATTGAGCATATTCCCTTTTGCATATAAGTGCACGTGTTTTCGTTTTACTTTGATTGTACGGTTATTCGCGTAAAAATAGTACATAGTAGTGAATATTTGATTTATTATGGCCCCAGGGCCGCCTAATGTCGGGGAAAACAGTTTTGCTTTGCTTGCCTCTAGCCCCAACTCCAAAAGGAAAAAACTTACATACAAAAAACTTGAACATTTTCCAGAACTGCCTCAAATTAAAAAAGATTGTCCAAAGCAGATTCGAACAAAACACTTTACAAACACTCATACTTCGCTGTGCATAAAAGCTTAGAATCAATAAGTAAGGAAATTTTATCTATCACCGAATTATGTGATGGTAATTTACTCTTACTCGTTAAAAATCGGAAGATCGCTGAAAAATTTCTTACAACAAAGAAATTAAATGGAATTTGCGATATTAAAGTTAAGTTATACGACAACTTGAATTGCTCTAAACGTACAATTTACGCTCCATTTCTAAATGATATTGCAGAAGATGAAATTGTTGACAATTTAAAAGATCAGTGAGTTACTTTTGTGTATAAATTCACAAAAAATGTAGAACGCAAACAAAGACCTAGTGTGAAACTTCTTTCATTTGACCTCTACAAACTTCCAGAAAAATCGAAGTCTCATAGAGCATATTTGACTAACCCCATGAGGTGCAAGAGTTGCCAGCTTCTAGGTCACAAGCGAAGCGTTGCAACAACAACCCTGCCTGCGATATGTGTAGTTTCCCTCCTCATCTGCCCGCACATTTTGTGCAAATTGCTCAGGCGATCATCCTTCCTCTTCACGCTCTTGTCCTAAATACCTACAATCTAAAAATATTCTAAGAATAAATACAGAAAATAAATGCTCAATGCGAGAAGCACTAAGGCTATACAAACAACAATTACCTCTGACCCCGCAAACACTTCTTTCTCTTCTGTTAGAAAAGAAAATACAAATAAGCAAATAACAAACGGGATTTTCCACCGCTCATCATCTCCTCCCCTACCACTCTCCACAGACACTGTACTAAAATCCCCAAAAGCTTATCCTCTTCCACAACAAAAGCAAACCTTGATAGTAAACAAAAACAATTTTGCAATCAATAACCATCTAAACTCACCAAATGAAACTACAAAAGAAACAACAAAAAACCTTCCTAACCTAATGCTTACCCAAACAAAAAAAACAACCCAACCAAAATAAGCATACCACTCATTCCTAAAATATCCACAACAGATTCTCTTAAAATCCAAACTAACTCTCTCTCTCTACAGACAATATCAATATCACAGAACGTATATTTATAGAGAAGGTTCACAATATCAAAAATTTAGGGATATTTAAATTTTAGGATATTTACTGTTTTGGATGAGTGCGTTTAACCACAGAAAATTATTAGCGCGTTTCACCACTTAACATCAGGGGCACGACAATAACAGAACTGAGTAGTTGTTAGAGCCAATGGGAAAAAATATGTTAATTTCAATGTTTAGAAATGTACGCTTACAAATTCGTATATTTACAATGCGCAAACGGATGCATATAATTTATCTACATATACACATATGTATATTTTCTATATATTTTATATCAAAGCATCAAGCATGTACGTACAAATTGAACTATTTCATGATGAATTCCTTAACATCTTTGGAAATATATAATAAAGTCATACATGCATTATTACCTATGTAAATCTTTAATTAATGTAGGTTTGATAAAATACTTATGTATATACATTAATATTTATTTACAGGTCTTTAAAAGTTTTGATAACATGTTAAAAGACCAAGCGGTCGCTCATATTCACGTCAAAGAACCATACGCATAATGTTTGTAAATTTGTCTACCCACAACTTTGTATGTAAATGTGTACACGTATTGCTTGATGCGAAATCTTCGATTCATGGGCAACCAATGGCTGAAGCTCAAGTTTTTTTCAAAGAGGCTGTGTGTCGAAGGGCTGACGTGACAACAAAGCATCACAACAGCTTCAAGAACAAACCAGCGTAAGTATGTATGTTTCCGTATAAGCTTGCATACATATCGACGCAGAATTTTGCAAGCCGCATGCAAATATTTTTTACATTCATTGACAAATACAGTCAATGACTTTTATGTGCCACAATCAAAGATACAGATTTTTGTTGATTTGTTAAAAATAAAAATATCATATGGCACATAAGCGAGTGCGGATACTTAAGCGAGTGGTACATAAAACAATAATTTCCATGTATTTCAAAAAAGAACGTGAGATGCAGCAAGATATAGGCAGTTAAGAGGAATACTACTTAACCGGGATTCACTGTACACATAAATCTGGGGAATATTGAATATTTT